GTTTGTTTTCAGTGGGGGCGTTAATGGGTAGTTAATCCTAAGGTTAGGTTCAAACCTATTACTAATTTGCATATTGTAGGTCTAGTAGGTCTGATTAGGGCTAGCAAGGGAAGACCGGGTTAACCCAGGTTTGACCCAGGTGTTTGAATATGAGATCACCCCTTAGTTACGATGCAAGTTAATGCAATGCAGCTGTACATTATCATTACATACAATTGAATTTAGAGTAGATACGTTCACCCTTTTCTATCAGGATGACCACAAGTTCATGGTGCATTGGCTTGTTTTAGACAGCGAAAAAGACATGTTTACTACAGAATTTATTGTCGCAGACTTAATTTTGGAAATTATCCGTCCATTTGCTAAATATGACCCAGGTTTCAGTATATCATGGATTTATACAGAAACAGTCATCATGGCAACAGTTTGTCTCAGGAATATAATAGATTGTCATTACTGCGATGGATACTAGACGCTATATAAACTTGTATTTTATTATAAAAGGAGCTTAACACTGAGAACTTTTATCATTCACAATGTGTAAAAATGATAAAATATTAGAATTTATCAGTTTATGTAACCTATGGCAAATTATATTATTACCAACTAGATATTATATTCATATGTTTTTTCCTGTGTAATGCATTTTTGTTTTCACTCCTCCTCCACCCAGCCAAATGTATTGATTATTACACCAAACTGAAATTGCAAAATGCTGAGGAGCTGCAGGATAATCAAACACCTATTGACCCTCGACTTGAAGCAGTGGTAAATAGAATGTTTCAGAGATGTTTTGATGATGCCAAGTATAAGCAGGCAGTTGGGATTGCTTTGGAAACGAGAAGAATTGATATCTTCAAAGACGCTATCATGAAATCAGTAAGTACATGTATTTTTTATTTTTTATATTATCAAAAATAGTGAATTGTAAACTTAGGGGACAAGTTGACACAGTTCCACTTTAGAGCAAGTAAATACAGTCGAACCTGTCTTAGCGGCCACCCTCAGAGAATGGTCACCTCCCCGGAGTGGTCACCCTGCAGCAGTCCCGTGCAATTTGCCATGTAATTGACACTCCATAGAACGGCCACCTGTCTAACGCGGTCAACGGCCAGGTTTCAGCGGTCGCAGTGATCATTTGAACTGCATATAATGGGCATAGTTCCCGGATGTCTTGCAGAGTAAAAAGTTTAAGCGAGTTTCCAAAGATCACAAAGGACAAAGTTTTAACAAAGGACATTTTAACACCTTTCATTCAACCGATGGCTTCGGCAATTATGTTTTTCTTTTCTTGTTTATCATTCAGTTTACCACGGCCAGCACACCGTAGCGATGGCCTGGGAACTCCAAAAACATAATTAAGAATTTGGAAGTGTCCTGATAAAAACATGTCATTACCACGGGAATAATTGAACAGAAGTGCTATGTACCTGGCTTTGTACAATCATGGAGGTAAAAAGAGATCTCTTTTTACCTCCATGGTACAATCATGGACGTCCATGGTACAATGAATCAAGCAGCCACAATGATGACAACCCGCAAACTTTTTGTGAATCGCCGGGTAAATCGGATTGCCGCCTTTAAATCCCCGATCGAATTGATTACCAACAAAAAGATATAACAACTCACTTTTTATTTAGTATCGATATTTATTCACTTAGACTCCTATAAATATCGACAAATACGCATGTAACTGGAACCAGTCCTGTGCTGGAACTGATAGCAAAGGGGAAAAAATCAACGCAACGGCCATGCTGTTGTTTATCCATCCAAATAAATTATGCTAATTAGCCTAGCGCATGTGTGGTCTTGTTCTTCCGGAGTTATGATAACTCGGGTCAAAAAGTAGTGTCGCTTCCGTTACTGTGTATCGATCGCTTCGAGGGAATGTGTGTGCAGTATCGTCTCCTTGTCCAACTATTTTGTTCAACTTTTTTTTTTGGTCGCTACTGCCTTGGTACATGTAACAATAGAGGCTTTTAACAATTATGTTCCACTGACTTCGGTTCGCCGGCCAAAGTCGCCAGGCATATTTCACACGTTTCTATTGTTGCAGCGGTACAATAACATGGAAGTCGCCCAGATTTCGATTGCGCAAGGTAGTGTTTTGATTAAAGGGGTCAACCATTTCGTAAGTGAGGTAGGTCAGGGAGATTTTTGAAAAAAATAAACAAAATGTTAGAGGGAATTGTGCTGGGGGAGAATACTGTCAAGTTGTCACAGAACTGGAAGGAGATAAGTGTTCTTTTCATGTATGTTGTAAGGATCAATAAAGCACTGCTAACTGTCGCTCTTCCTTGAAAGAATTTGCTATAGCCTAAGAACATTCCTATCTATTAGAACAGTTACTAAGTGTACGAGACGCAATAAATATTAAGAGAAACATAAAAATCAGAACAGCTAAGCAAAGCAAGCTGAGGGATTTCTTTAGTAGGAAATGAGACTAAAACTGCTGCTGAACATGAACTTTACTGTACAAATCTTCAAACATTTAATTTTCGATACTCATTATTTTTTGTTTGTATAAAGTGTTTGGATACTGTGTACAGTAGTTTGATAGTGTGTATCAAACAGGGTTGTGAGATCTGTTTTAATACATTGATTCAATGCCTAATTAATATTCATGAATAAATTAGTAAACCTGTATAGAAAGGCCACCTGTCTATAAATGGCAAAATCTCGAAGTCCCCTGGGTGGCCACTATAGACAGGTTAGACTGTAATAGAATCTACTTGCATTGCTGCTGTAGCAAATTCATTGTATAAAAACAAAACAACACAATAATTCACCACTGGGGGCAGTATAGAGTATTCCTCACTGGATCTGTACCCAATATGTGAAATGTCTTTTTTTGTTTGTTAGGATGATGTTTCTGGAATGCTGACCTACAGTGTGAAAGTTTGTATGTCACTGATACAAAACAGGCAGTTCAGAAATACAGTAAGTTAATTATTATCATAAATTTGTTGCTGGTACTGATACCCTATTCAGTATCTTTTAATAAATAAGCCGGGGATTCGCTGTGTATTTTATAATACACTGCTTACATTCTAGTGATCTGATCAAATAATTAAAGGACTTACAGTATTTTATAACTATATGCATCTTTAGTTCATCAATTTGCCAAGACAATGTTTCCTGCATTTAGGAATAACTGCTAATGAAAAAAGCATCATGACAAACTTGACAAAGTGAGCCTTCCAAGTTTATCTTTAGATAAAACTAAAGGTCTATTTCTGACTTGTATGAGAATAACAAGATATATTCTTGATAGATCATGACTTAGAATCTAAAGGAACAAACTTAACAAACTATACTGCTCTTGTTATTCAACAGGTTTTGAAAGTGTTGGTTAATTTATATCTGAATTTATCCATTCCTGATTATATCAATGTATGTCAGTGTTTTATATTTCTGGATGACCCACAAGCAGTTGCTGATATTCTAGAAAAGTTGCTCAAAGATACTGAGGTAAACAGTTGTACTTTATTTAATATTTTTTGCTCGAAGTTTGTTGTCATTACTTTAACATAAATTTAATACCTGAAACTTTTAGTGTATTTAGCAGCTCAGTAAAGCCTGGATAGTAATTTATTTACCATCAATATTGTGTGTTTAGTCATCAAAGTATATATGATTTAATGTAGACAAACATTTTGTCAGAAAAACCTCGGGTAAACGGTTAAGGAATATAAAACAATTTTAATGTTTTTATAGTGAAGTTTATAATATTAATATACGTAAAAAAAACATCACAATTTATATCATTTGTCCTGACAGGAAACCACATTAATGGCTTACCAGATTGGTTTTGATCTGTATGAAAGTGCAACCCAGAAATTTCTATCTAGAGTTCAAGCAGCACTACGAGCTGTCGCACCACTTCCTATTCCTGGTACACCAGCCTCAATAGCAACTTCAACTACGGTTACACCAGCTTCCACAGCAACACCTTCAAAAGACAGGTACACATTTTTTTATTATTCTTACTTCATATAATAATGACAAAGTAACCTTTTACTGTAATAAATATTGAAACATTAATCTTGGCTTTCATAGTCCTGAAACATCACACTTCTTATATTGACAGCCTAAAAAGATAATACAATTGTAAGGTAGGTTCTCTGGTCAGCAAGTTGACAAAAGATACTAGTCGCCAAATTAATTTAGAAACGTAGCACTGGGCGACCGATGTGCTATTTGGATAACTAAACTAATGCAATGAAGCATCACACACCACAACGATTGATCAAGAACGAGACTAATATGATATATGTCAAAGGTCAATAGCATTTATTCATTCTTGCATGCAAATAGGGAAAATGGATTCCTATACAGGGTGATACTATGGGGGAACCTCAACATACACTTTTGTTGGCAATAATGCACAATGATTATTAACAAAAGTCAACAGTAAACAAGAGTTCACTACTATGTGCAATGTCACGATGTCTTAACAACAGGGCTGTGCTTCGGCGTTGCTAAGGTAATAATGTCACAACGCGTTGTTCAGCAATGTTGACGTTCACGCGTGGTCACACACATAACGGTCACGCACTCATAACAAATTCAGGCATAGCCTTCGGCCTCTAGAGCGACTTCGGCGATTAATACACACACTGGTTGGCGAATATGGACGAGTTGTATTTACTCACATGTTGTAGAGCACAGTGTTGATGAAGAGTATATTAACTTAAATAAAGTCTCGTTGAAATCTTCATAAGTAGATTAACGGAGCGTAGATCATTCATTCACTTTCTTTACGATAAGAGGTTCACACAGTAATGTCACTCATTCACGATATACACAATATACTAGTATACATATGAGGAATATACGGTAGTGTACTGTCACTTGTTGACAACGTATTCACGGTAATGTCACTCGTTGACGATAGTCGCACTAAAACTAAGAGGTATTCACGATAATGTTACTCATTGATAATCTTCGTGATTAAGAGGTACTCACGGCAATGTCATTCATAGATGATTTCTGGGCGAATGCGAACTTCACATGTAAACAATGCCAGTCCAGCAATACTGCCACTTCCGGGTTCGCAGACAAGTAGTCTCACGGAAAATCGTCCGATCCAATTCGGAGTGATGCCGTCTCACAGTTTAAGTACCCACAACTTCAATTCAGCAACTTTAGTCAGTGACTTTCAGTTTCTCCAACCGTGTCCCCTCGTCTGTCCATTCTCCTGTCCCGCATGGTTTTCTTTTTTACCTCTTCTGTCAGTCCGCGAGCGCGCGACCCGTTATCTCAAATTGACTAATAACGTGAATGAATCACATGATAATAAGCAGAATAAACAGATTAATCAGAACAAATAATAGGTCACTCATAAATGTGACAAATAAACACTGGGCATGGCACAATACAATCAGAACTATTTTCTAAGCCGCATCACATGCGCTCCTTGATTGCTAAGTGTAGAACTATTTCATAACGCAACAACTTGTACATGTATGTACCATAATAACTCTATTAGACTGATCAGTCATAAAACAACTTATCCACTATGTTTTGCTAGCATAGAAATTACACATGGTTACACAATGATAAAAAAAAGTACCTGTCCAGCATTTTAATGACAGCATTTTTATTGTGTTCTTTTCAGTGATGCAATGGAGACAGATGATTCATCTCGTGCTACTTCAGAAACACCAGTGGAAACTCCAAAACCTAACCAATTGGTAATCAAGTTTGTTTTATTTTGTTATTTCCCAGAATCACTTGATACTGATCCACAATTGTAATGAGAATATATATACATCAGCAAAACTAAAAAAATGTTATTACTTTATTTTTCCAGACTGAAACAGATAAATTACATCAAGACAGAATCACGAAGTTAACCACAATACTCGGTGGAGAGACTACCATAGATTTGCACTTACAGTTTTTAATAAGAACTAATAAAGGTGATTTGCAGATATTAAAAAATACAAAGGTAAGTTATATGAATAATATTATCATGTGAGATGTGTTCATCTCAGTCACCAGTGTACAGATGTTTTGCATATTGGACACCAGAATTGTTTTTTGACTTGTAGATTCACCTCTGTATATATGTGTGTGTTTTCATGTGCGTGTTAGTCTGTCCATGCATCTTGTATTTCGAACATGCTAGAAACTTCACATATATGCACATGCAATCCAAATCAAGGCGACTCAATGGCAGCCATTCATTAAATTGTTGAGGTGCATTCAAATAAAGCATTTCTATCATTCTGGAACTAGATCTCAGTCGTGCAACAACGATTTTATAGGACCTTGATGCATGGCAGTTTGTTTTACATTTCAAATTCAAAATGGAAGATTGGGGACTATTTTGTATTTGATATGCTCTGACCAATCATGTTAAAACTTCACGCATAAATTATACATCATGTGTTACTTGTATGCATGTAAACATTTCTGCCATTCCAAATCTTTGTTGTGGCCTTGCCTTCATGTCACATGTATGACCATGTATTCATTTCTGATTCAAGATAGCTGACTCGTAGCATTTGTAGTAAAAATGCCTGTAATTTGCTGAACATTTTGAAAGATTGCATTCAATCATATTTGCGTATTAAACACCAGAATTGACCGTCTATGATTACAATTAATTTGATAAAAGGAGTAAATGATATAATGATATTTTCATGTATTTTATATTTTACTTATCTGCCAGGATGCAGTTCGTAATTCAGTGTGCCACACAGCTACTGTTATTGCCAATTCTTTTATGCACTGTGGAACAACTTCAGATCAGTTTCTAAGGTAATGTTCCTTTTCTGGATATGGGAATTTTGATTCATGGTCATTATTTGAGTCCATTTGTATAATTTTTGGGAGTGCTTGGGCCTGATGTTATTGCTGAGACAAGTTTCATTTAGAAATAACTATTAGTAATGAGGACATTGTTGTTGCCATGTCAGTCTGGTTTGTATGTCACTGTAGCAGATGTTCCTATATTTTGCTCAACTCTCACCATCTATGCAGTAGAAAGCATTGACATGCAAATAGACTGACTGTGGACCCCTAAAAAGTCTGAAATGACAGACTCGTCTGTCATTCTAGAGTCCACCCCATGTATTATGTAATTACATGTGAACATGTATCTCTTTCATAGGGATAACTTGGAATGGTTAGCTAGAGCTACAAACTGGGCTAAGTTCACAGCCACTGCAAGTTTAGGGGTCATACATAAAGGACATGAAAAAGAAGCCCTTAATTTGATGTCAACATATCTGCCCAAGGATACCGGCCCAGGGAGTGCTTATCAAGAAGGTGGTGGACTATATGCACTTGGATTAATACATGCTAATCATGGTGGTGAAATTACAGATTATCTATTAAACCAGCTTAAAGAGGCTTCCAGTGATGTAAGTATGCTTGATTGGTTGTGTCTATACTATTTATATATCTGTCCATGGATTACTGAACTACACAAGTTTAGACTAAATTTCATTGATTCACAGCACTTGCATTTGTGATTTAAAAGGATTGAGCATACGTTTATGGGAACAAGATGAAATGTAACTAGTCTGATTTGTTTTTTACAATACAGTTGTTATACTTGAACTGAAATGTATTTTCTGCATTTCATTTTTTTGTAGATGATTCGTCATGGTGGGTGCCTGGGTCTAGGTTTGGCTGCTATGGGCACTGCCAGAATGGATGTATATGAACAGTTGAAATTCAATCTATATCAAGACGATGCTGTCACAGGTTGGTTGTATATTGCAATACATATCTCAATTACATACTGCCAATATTCACATTAATGAAGATTAGCATTTGGATAGTCTAAATCTCTATTACTTGTAAACTAAATTCAGATTCTGACAATATAAGACTGGCCCTAATGTATTAACTGTGACACCATGATTTTTATTCTGTGAATATCACTGTTTTGCATACTGGTAATTGTATTGTAGATGGTTATAATATCAATAGAAACTAACATCTATATTATTACAGGTGAAGCTGCAGGGCTAGCTATGGGCTTAGTAATGATTGGCTCCAAATATCCCACAGCAATTGAAGACATGGTTGCTGTAAGTCATGTCTATACTCTTTCTGAAATATGTTCAATGAATCATCGATGGCATGATGTACCATCAGATCATATATACATAATGAACTTATAGAATGAATTCTTTTTATTTTAGTATGCACAAGAAACTCAACATGAGAAGATTTTGAGAGGTCTTTCTCTAGGTATTTCCTTGGTATGTATAAACTTTTTTTTGAATTCCTAATATACCTAGGTATTGTTTTGACAATAAAACATTTCACAGCATACTGAATATAAAAGTATTCAAAATTTTTGTTGCCCTTAACGTAATAGTTTGTACAGAAAACCAACATCTTCCAATGCCTTAATAATGGGTGCAATACATTTTCAATATTTTGGTCTATATATATCTTTGGTCAGACGGTCAATGTTATTTGTCAAAAACGATCATGTGATTGTTTGATAAATACTGTTATTGGCCTCTTCCAGTGTATTTCTTGCCTCTGATGTCATTGTATGCGTTACTTTCCTTAGATGTCATAACATGTTGCTGACCATAAAAGAAAGCATGAATGACTCCTTTGAAAGCTTTTTTTTTTACCTCGCTTACTACCTCGTTCTTTTTCATGATAATAAAATAGTTATTATCTTTGTTCTTGATTGAATTGACCCCTCTCCATCCCAAAGTGGGGATGATAATTTGGGTTGTATGCAATTTTTCATATTTGTTCTGTTAGCACATATGCTGTTGAAAATTACAGAGATGTTTCTATGGTCAAAATAAGTAATATTTTAATGATTCAGTATTATAATAAAATTTTTGATTTATATGCAATTGTGTCATGTCATGTCATGTCATGTCTTGTCCTGTCTCTGATGTCTGCTTGGTGTACATTTTGATGGGTCATCCAGATCTGTATTTGGGTTTTGCTTGTTGATCTAGGTATAAATAAATAATAAATTGTTATTTTCAGACTATGTTTGGCCGATTAGAAGAAGCTGATGCTTTGATTGAAAGTCTTACAAGAGACAAGGATCCTTTACTACGTGCATCTGGAATGTACACTGTAGCTATGGCATACTGTGGTACTGGACATAACAAAGCAATTCGCAAATTACTACATGTAGCAGTTAGTGATGTCAATGATGATGTGAGAAGAGCTGCTGTTACTGCCCTTGGTTTTCTTCTCTTCAGGTAGGAACATCTTTACTCTCTGTCTCCACTATTACCAAACCATGACATCTTTGATTTTTTTTAAATTTCATATATTCTATTCTGATTGCTTGAAGTATGTATCTTAAAGTTTTGTATCTACATAAACATCACAGTCATTGGTCAAGATAACAGTGTTTTTTTTCTTTTCTTTTGTAATTATGAAATCAAGGATGTCCTTATTTGGTGATATTTGACACTGTTTTGTGTGTGATTTACAAGCTGAGCAGATGCATAGAGTATGTGTATGCATATATATGTAGTGTGTCTAATTCAGTAGTGCTACGAGTGTAGATTTATGTTGTTTGGATAAGAATGAATAGTGAAAATGTATGACTGAATACGTCATGGCCATATCAGTGAATTATATTGCGTTGGATGGTAGATTATTTATGAGTGCTGACTTGAGTGATGTGTCATCTGACATGAAAAGTCGAATTGTTGAAACAGTAAAAAGATATCTGCTGTCTTCGTACAAGCTGGAAGATGGATTCTCAGGTATGAATACAAGCTGGAAGACTAAGGATACTCAGGTATGAATAAATTTCTTAACTTCTATATTTCCTTCAGTCTGTCTTCACATGATGTTTACTATAGTTTGTGTATAGGAATCAGTTTTGATTACATTCTCGCCCAAATTTTTTCTTCACTTTTCACTCATTGGTTCCCCTTGGTAAAAATGTTTTGTCATAACTCAAAATGTTGTGGATTTTTACCATAGAGGGCGTACTTTACTTTTATATCACAGTTTACTTTAAGTACATGTGTTGCAGTTGTACATAAATTCTGTGAATTTATTTTAGCTGGAATTCATTTTCACTAAAATGGTGCAATATTTTTTTCACTGGATTTTATTTTTGTTTATTTCATTCCAAAAAGAGCAAATATTTGGTCTAAATATGCTTATGTAAATCAGTTGTACTGGTATTTTAATTGTATTTTAATGCTTAAATCGCCATAGTCACCATGTAGTGCATGTTTGAGTTTCATCTAATCAATTTATTTTATATGCATCGGGTATGTCGCATAGGACCCACATCAAATATAGTGTTAGGAGTTACGTGTTGTCGCTTTAAACTATGTGTGTGTGGCTTTCAGCATTTTGTAAACATCACAATTCAATGCAAATCCCACTGCTAATGAGAAATTTATAAATATTGGTGCAAATCTAGTGAAGAAATGGTCTTGGTGTTTCTGTACTGTGTGATTTTTGCCTTATTTAATGAAAAAAAAATCACTTCTATATAACAATTCTGTATTAACCTGACAGTGGTCTGCTAATGCATGTTTCATGATTGCTTTACATACTGTTTTACATTAATTGTGGTTATTGGTGTGGAACAAGCTAATATAACCTTTAATTGGGACAATTGTGATTATAATTTTGGTAAAATCCCCCGCAGAGAAGTTAGAGTATGCTATATATGTTATAAATAGCTGTTGAGCATCCAAGCGAACCACAGTGATAAATGTTCACTACTATGTATTACAGCCATTAGAAAATTATCCATATATGTGAATGATTCTCTTGTATTTCATCACAAAAATAGAATACTTTTTTGGGTTAATTAATTTGCATTATGTGCACAAGTCATTTCTCACACATGTATCCACTGTTTTCTGTCAAACTTGTTACATATATTTTACTTGAATATGCACATCATTTTGCTGTTTGATCAAGTAAAATGTCAAATTTGCCTCACCATATTTACTCTATTAGAAGCATATCTTCACTGGAAGTGCATCTTAATCAAAAAATGCATTTATTGTGTGCTTGATCATTAAAATGTGACTTATGATGACCATAGACACATGTCATTTACTTAAAGTGTATGTGCCACTAATAGAGCAAATATGGTAATCCTAATCATTTAGCATATTCATAACCGCAGTGACCCGATATGTTCAATATTGTCAAACACAGTGCTTTATGATATACCTGTAGTATGTTTTGTGATCTGATTGAATTTGGCCTATTGGTGATTTTTTTTCAGACAAATTGTTAAATCTGATTCAATATTGTATTTTAATCCATTATTTTCACAATTTGATACACAAATACAATGTATACTTTCTTTATGCACTTAATTTGTTTTTGGCTCCTGTGTGAGATTTGCATAGTCAGTCAATTTTCGGCTTTTCCACTGAAATCACAAGTACTAATCAGCTCATTTCAATGAAACCTGGTAGGACAGTGCTTAAACCTAATCATTTTTAATTACCTGATTTGCATAATTAGCCAATTTCTTCTTTATCAATATTAACTATTAATCATCACATTTCATTAAAATTTCGTAGATGGTCTACACATTGTGCAGATGTTATTAGTTTTACATTAAAATTATTACATATTAATCACCTGATTTGCATGGTAATTAGCCAGTTTTCAGCTTTTTCTCTCAATATCTCAAGTACTAATTATCATTATAATTCAATGAATCTAATTTGCATAGTAGGCATAATCATCAAATTTCATAGAAATTTGGTATATAGATGCTCTGGGGTAATCCACAGACGTGATTAGTTTAATGTTGAAAACCCTTGCATATTTATCATCCAATTATTTAACCAATTTTTCTCAAAAAATCAGATTTGAACGTGCTCTGAAATAAATTAGACTGTAAACCAAAGATAAACAGTCAAATTTATTTTCTGTGAATGTTTAAAGGAATTGCTCAAATAAAGTGGCTCCACTTTGTATCATGTCTGTCACGCAAGTGGAAATAATTTGGCACTAATGTTGATAGTCGCTAAGTACTGGACAGGTACTTTTTATCGACAATGACTTGTTGTTTCTGACTTCATGTTGTACGTCATGTCACTGAGATATTGCCAGTGACTATTTAATTTTCCATGAAGTAGCAGTATTATCTAAAAAAAAGTTATTTTGGGTCATGCAGCATTTCATGATTGTCAGTGCTTGAAATTCAGAGGCATCGAAGGCATTACAAATACAGGCAGTTCTTACTGTAGTCTTACATGTGTACGCTAAGACAGTTTTTATCCAATTTTTGCCTTGAACATGGTGACCTCTCAAATCTAAAGTTTAAGCTCTGGAATGATGTATACTTACTGAATGTGAAGTTGTCTTTTACATATAATTTATAATTAACTGATGGTGTAGTAGGTTGGTGCAGTTGAAGCAGCTAGTCTATCATATGTATATACATGTAACCTTGTTTCAAATGTTAAAAAATACTGGACAATTAGTTATCGGAAGTATGGTCACCCCTGATAAATAGAAGCTAATGATAAACATATGGTACTGTACCTGCTTTTTGTTTTGTCTCTTAAAAAGTTTTTTTTTTTGTGCTAAGTGTTGCTCAAAATATATGTTGATCTGCTTCAAATGCCTGATAAATACATATCATGTGTATTTTCAGAGCCTTTTCAGTTGAATATGCTTCATTAACACTATCAGTCTACTCATGTGCCTGTCTGTGCATTCTTTGTTTGACATGTATGCTTTTCATTTTGTTTTATAATCTGAAAAAATGGTTGGTTGGTGGTCATTTTAATTTGATCTATACAGCTGTGTCTGTGCATTGTGACAATGCAACTGTATACATGT